ACACCACCGTCTCTGGCCGCCTTCGAGCTGAAGTTGAAGAGTGGAAGCTTCGTACGTTGGAAGCCAATGGTGCTGCGATGGAGCACCAAAAGGCTCTCAAGCTTGCTGTGGCCAACATGAACTACGTTGGAGAATTGCTCTACCGTGCCAAAAGCATCCTCCGACGCTGTCTTCAGGAGATGGACGACCACCGCCTGGAGTGTCCTTTGCACCGTGGCGCTTTCATCGCCCGGCATGGACGGAAGCTGCATGTGAACCCACACTGCAGTTCCCTGGAAGGAAGAGATGAGCGAAACGTGGAGTTGTATATGATCCCTGCGCGCTTTGCAGCACGAGGATCCTTCCTCCAGACAGTGTTCAGGTTAGTGGTGGCACCTCTCTTCGTTTGGCCATAGCTACCTGGCTTGAAGCCAATGGAATGCAGGCTGAAGAGATTTTCAATGAAGCTCCTGCCTCGCCTTGAAAAGTTTCCCCCGTGTGAATCGAACGCCGTTCGATCGGGTCATGAGGCAGGGAGCTGTTTTCATGTCGACTGCTCGCACCTTTCCGCCTCAAGAGGGCGGGAACTCATCCTGTCAAAACGGCGCGTCGTGTTCGGCTTTTGCGCCGGACGGTTCTTTTTGCTGCTGACGGACTTCGTTTGCCGTCGTGTTCTTCGCAGCGATTTTTTTTGTGTTTAGAAGGGCCGGTGCACCTGTGGCAACGCACGGCGGCCCGCATATGCAAATTGAGCCATGGGAACATGTTGATGTGGCCGGACGCTTTTACCAGTCCCGCGGCAGCGAACTGTTTTGACTCAGAAGCATGCCAGCACAGTCATGTGCCTAGTGCGCATCTTGTAGGGAGTTCTTGTGGTGGCCAAGCCACGGGCAAAAGTGCAATAGTGGTTGAATGGAGGAATGATGTTGGTGCAGTGTTGTTTGTTTTTTGTTGAACACCTATTTGTGTGTGTTTGTGTTTCACCCTTGTCACAGGGATCCTGTCGGACTGTCTATTTTTGTGGTTTCTTTGAAGCAGGGGGCATGCGGCCATCACGCAAACGCATGCCAACGAAGCTATGCGTGATGGCGGAAACCCGTTTAATCAACCTGGTGTACCTGTCTTTCAGAACCTAAGTATGGCACAAGCTGTCCAGTGCGTTGTTTCTGCATTTCGTTTTGCTGCGGTAACGGGCTAGTGCCTTCGGCTTCGGATTTGGTTTGGAGTTGATTCACCTTGAACCTTTGTACCTTTGAGCTCCGCTGATCTGCGCGATTCGTCGTCACCCTGTCGCCGCCGTTTGTTTTCGCTTTTAGAGGTTTTGGAGGCCTCAGACTTTCACTTCCTAACTTTTTACCTATACCTTTAGGAAATGGTAACCTAGGCCGGCGTGTGGCAGTCCCTCCTCGTGAGAGAGTGGCTCCTGTGGACCCGTCGAACGGGGGTTAGTCTTTATCTCCCTTGCCCGGAGGTGTACGTGACCAGAGCGGTCAAAGTTTTTTGTAAGTTCGTCGGGACCTTAGAGAGATGTTGCCCTCTCCACCTGTTCCGGCTCCTCCTCCCATGCCCCCCACTCCTACTGGATTGGTGCCGACGGAGGGCATCCCTATGGTGGCTCCAGCTGTCCTACATCGAATAATCCTTCATGTAGATGTTTATCATTTTGGGCATCCTCCATACCCGTTTGGCTATTACATCCATCCCCTTCCTGGATCAAGTCACCTCCCCCCATCTTCAGGTCGAACTTCGCGGTCTGGATGCAGCCATGCTTCAAGCAATGCAGGTCGTTCACACGGCTCTTCACTACACCCATACGTTGATGACTACTTTCGGCTTGATCCACACTCTCGATCCGAGCCCTGAACAACTTGATGCTACCTCCTTCTTGGATCACCAAACCTTTGTTTCCCCCATTCCTGACTCCCGTCCCTTGACCGATCGCCGCCCTCGACGACTAGCTGGCCTCGAGGGCGTTCCAGACCCAGCGCCGCATCGACTCGCCGAAGGACCCGATCCGTCATGAACATAGTTTGATCCCCGGATAGTTCGATCGTCTCACCCTGATCGCCGCTTTCCAGAAACTGGCACCGACCTTTGTTCACCTTGTCCCAGTCGCAACCTGTTTGTATCTGGATCTATTTGAAGATTTGACCGTATTGAGCTTTCCCTTTTTTCCATCAAGCCTTGATGTTTTTCCCCCTTCTCATTCACTCTGGGCCACCTGGGTTCTGCCCCTATCTGGCTCTAGCTTTGCGGGGCACAATTCGCTCCAACCACTCAATCACCCACATGCCTGCTCAAGCATTTGTTGTTTTTCATTAGAAACTTGGAAGCTGGCCAGTATAAAACCAGCTGTGTGGAAACGGTCGAAGAGGCGAAATAGCCCACCTTCCCCAAGGGAAAAACCGACCGGAAAAGAAACCTTATGAAGTGGACTTTCGCAAATATGGACGCTGACCAGTATTAACACAGCGCTCGTCGCTCCACCCCCGTGTCTCCGGACCTTCCCTCCCCCCGCCAACAAGCTGCATGCTCCGAGTCTTCTTCCTCCCCTTACCATGCCCGTGCCTTCGTCGACGTCACCGGGGCCACCAGCTAGCCCAGCACCTTCGGCACCGTCACCTGCCAGCCCCACCGCAGCCATGCTTTCTCCAAGTTTCACACGCACGGTGTGCCTCATGGCGTTTTGCCCGCACAATGAGTTGCGCGACCAACTTGCGATCTCATAAGGCTTCGCCAACCTGCCCCTCATGTCGCCAACCTTGGGACAGTAGCTTGGGTCCAGAGACACAGCGAATGTGTCACCACCACGGCATCGTGATTTGGAGAGAATTGCCAGACCGCCGCATGGATTGGTCGCCCACATTCCAGCCAGCCCAGGGCACTTGGCCACCATGCCGCCAACGTCCAAGGCCCTGTTACGCTCGCAGGCGGGCCGACAGGCGGCAGCCTGGCTGTTCACCACCCCCGCCGGTTGCCGAACGCGGCGTGCCAAGTGGGGCACTGGCCCAACGGGCGCGCATCCTCGAACGTGCGTGGGTGCGGGTGGGCCGTGAAGCAGTCGGACTCTAGGGCAGGGTTGCACCATTGCGATGTGACCCTTGGTGAGGAAGGGGCCACGCTGCAGGAAACCTGGCAAAGTAAGTGTCCGCCGCTACGCTTGATCGACCATGGGGGCAAGATTAGGGGGTAGGTGGAGCGACGAGTGTCACCAACTCATTCGACGCCTCGTTGCCCTCGGCGCGCCGCACCCACAGGCTGATGCCGGGACTCTTGGCCATCGCGCTCCCATGGGCGGTGTGCACCACTCTCCTGGGAGAGGCTTGGGGTCGCCAGCGCAACCGGCAGGAATCGAAGCTGTGCCGACCCTGGCCGAGGTGAGCAAAAATGTGCGGAAAAAAGGGAAGAACGTCAATGGCAATGGTGCTCAAAAAACGCAGTGGTTTGAGAAGAGAAACCAGTTGAACATCGTTTTTGACAATTCATGACCGTCAAACAAGGGTGTGCAGGGTGCCCGTACAAGGGCAACAACCTTTTACAAAGGCAGTGGCCTGCGACGCAAGCCTCGACCAAATGTTACCATGACTGACGCAGATCAAATGTTTCAAGTTTCATCGCAACCACCCAGTGTCGAGCGCCTCAACGTTGTGGGCCCGCCAGCTGAAGTCGCATCTTGGGCCGAGGGCCGACGCTGTCCAGGATGCGCAGTGGTTGCTCTGACATGTGAGAAGAGGAAAACAATGTTTTGAGGCTCAGGGCCTAGCGAGCACAAACACTGAACCCAAAATTTTTGACGGACGGTTGAGAATTCCAAAGTCGGAATTCGGAATTGATGAAATTCATCGATGTTTACCAAAACAAAAGTTTGCATGGAATGATATGTGCGAATGTGAGGTAAAAGGGC